TGCCGAATAGTTGATGCACACAACCTAACAGCTGGAAGCTGCAGTGTTTATGTGGATTAGACCCAGGCATCACTGACCTCCCCAGAGGCCGTTAAATCTCACTCGGAATCCGTACAAAGCGCACATTAAAGCTCCTCCTTTCAATAACTTCACACGTAGGAATTACAAGCACTCTGGGTGGGGGGGGGGGGGGGGGGGGGAGAGGGAGGGGGAAAGGGAGCGGGGAAGAGGGGGGGAGACCGGGGAGAGGGGGCCTTTGTGTTTGAAATCCATTTGGCTTCCATTTGGCTAAAATCACTGAACTCAGGCTCTACTCTGGGGATTTGACTCTAACCTGAGACGTTGGCTCCGAGACCCTCCCTGTGATTGTGTCTCCCCCCAGGCCCCACACCTGCCCCCCCACCTCACACCCCCCCACCCGCACTCACACCCTGGCGCTAACGGTGGCTCAACAATGACAACTTGCATTTACACAGCGCCCCTCACACAGTGGCGGAGCCTGACCCCGAGCCGGGGGGTTGGGGGGGGGGTAGGGGTGACCATAAACATGGTCAAAGAGGGAGGTCTTCAGGCGCGACTTGAAGATGGGGAAGGAGGGGGCAAGCGGAGGGATAGAGGACGAGGGTTCCAGAGTTTTGGGGGGGTAATGGCTGGAAACGCTCCAACAATGTGTTTAACCTATCGGAACAGTTACAGAAGGTTTAAGGTTTGGGGGAAACGTGTTTGAAGCCAAACATCACTGGGACCTGAGCACAGAGTCCTCCTCCACCTGTGCCAAAGTCGCCACCTAGTGTCACAAACTGGGACAACATCACCGCGTCTACCCTGGGGCTCAGTCCCCGTGTGGGTGTGGGTCTGATTCTGTGCGTCTGTGGACACCGGGAGAGAGAGAGAAACTCCCTTCTCTTTTGGGAGAGCGCCACAGATCTTTAAAGTCCACCTGAACAGGCAGGCGGGACCTCGGTTTAACCGAAGGCCGGCACCTGTGACAATGGAGCCCAACCCCCAGCCCTGCATTGGAGCGTCAGCTTAGACCCCGTGCGATTCCAAGTCCCGACATCCGAGGCCCTGTCCGCATGTTCAAGTGGACGTTAAAGATCTCATGTCCGCCAATCCCCCAAATGGAAGTGGACACCTCGAGGGGTCCAGGATGGAAACAGTCCATGAACCGGCAGCGAAAGATCAAGAGAAGCATCTCTGTAAATACAAGAATTGAGGGAACTTGAGAGAGAAAGATTCTCTGCTCTTTTCATCGAACATCTCCAGGGGACAACTTCACCTAAATCTCTGTTAAACGTCCTTAATCTTCTTCACTCCCAACATCACCCCCGACAACTCTCTCTCTGTCGAGTTAAATGACTTGGTAATAACAGTCCCTGTGTTTTACATCAAACAACAACAAAATTACATTTCCAGAGCGCCTTTCACGTCGGGAGGACATCCCAAGGCCCTGGACAGACAGGGGTCAGGACGCGGGCATGGGGGAGAGATGGGGTAGGGGTGAGGGAAGGCAGAGAGGTGGGAGGGTGGCCGAAGGTATGATCGAGGAGAAGGGTCTTGAAGGACGCAAGGGGGGAACCGAGGAGAAGGGACCATGGGATGGAGTTCCAGAGTGTGGAGGCAGAGAAGCTGTAAGCCCGGCAACCGATGGTAGGGCGGGTCGGGCGGGGGACATGGAGCAGCCAGAGTCACTGAACGGAGGGAGCGGACAGGGTGGTAGGGAGTCAGGTGTTCAGAGAGGTAGGAGGGGGCGAGGCCATGGATGGCCTTGAAAGTGAGGACGAGGATCTTGAATTCAACATCTCAAAGCACCTCCAGGATTTACTGTGTATTTTGTGGGCGAAACACGGCCGTCAATCTATGCAGCAATTTTGCCCAAAACAGCCACGGAGCCAACGACTGAGTTCCCCTCAGAGATTGTCGGCCAGGACACCTGGGGGGAGAGAGAGAGACTCCCTTCTCTTTTAAGATCTTTAACATTCACCTGAACAGGGCACAGACAACAACAACAAATTGCACTTATACGGCAGCTTTCGCCTCGGGAGGACGGGAGCTCGGTTTAACGTCTCGTCCGAAGGATTTTGTGGGCGAAACGCGCCAACCAATTGCGCACAGCAGTGTTCCGCAAACAGTCCCACTAAGCCCTGACCCACAGCGAATCGAACCCGGGTCCTCTCGCTTGCGGGCGAGTGCTGGAACTGCTGAGCTACGGGTTGTTTTTATGAATGATTAATCGCTGGAAGGCGAGGCCGGTGGGAGAGGAATTCTTGTGCGTTGCTGATCTGAAGCCACAAGGTGTTGCTACTGAGAGCAGGGCTTGGGCATGAGGCAGGGTGTGGTTAGCAGAGAGGAACCAGGGCACAGAGTCAGGTGCAACTCACACCTTACCTGGATTGTGAAACTCCAGAGGACAAACCGTGGGCTGAGACAAAGATAATCAGAGAGGAGTGAGGAGGAAGTTAAAAATCACTGTCTCGTTCTTTCTGCTGGGACTGAGTTGAGAGACAGAGGAAGAAAGTGAGAGAGAATTCAACAAACAGTAAAAAAAAACCCCCACAGGTGAGTGTTTGCTGTGAAGGTTACCTTGGGAGGTTTGTGCGTGCGCGCGCGCGCGTGTGTGACTGTGTGTGTGCATGTGCAAGTGTGTATGTGGTTGTGAATACGTGTGTATGTATACGTGTGTGGGCGCGCACACGCACTGGTGTGTACGAGGTGTGATGGTGTGTGTGTGTGTGTGACTGCGTGTGCGACTGTGCGTTTGTATGTGTACGTGTGTGTGTGCACCGCACGATCGGGTGCGTACAAGGGGTGTGTGGATTGATTCTGGGACAGAGGTCATTGAACCACACAGAACAAGGAAACTAAACATAATAAAACCTTCTCCATTCCAGAGTGACAAACTGTCGTGTTAATTCTGTGCTTTATTTCAATAAAATGTTTCCGTTTCACTGAAAGGAAAGGTAGATTTCTTTACTGTGCTATTATTATAATAATCCTTGTGTTTGATACAGTGCCTTGTCATGTTAGGAATTACATCTCAAAAGAGCTTCACCGGATTTACTGTAAAGTGCAGTGACTGTGTGGGTTGTGGACAAACACTGCAGCCAAATTGTGCACAGCGACGTCCCACAAACAGTCCTGAAGTGAGTAATCAAAAGTATCTGGACACCAGGAGAGGAACTCCCTTCCCTAATGGGATCTAAAGTCCACCTGAACAGGTGGGGCCTCGGTTTAACGTCTCACCTGAAGGACGGCACCTCCGACAAAGTGATGACCCCTCAGCATTTCATTGGGGTGTCAGCCCAAACTAGGAGTTTGCATAATCCGGACTTGGGGCTTGAACCCACAACCATTTTGACTCGGAAGCGAGAGCTCTCCCAACCGAGGCAGACTGGAGAAGCCCGAGCGTGTACAAACGAGTCAATGTGACCTGTGTCTGTTCATTTGAGTAACACGGAGTGACACGAAGATTGGAGTGTGGAAATCAGGAAATCTGCGTCATGTAGACATGTAAACACACCTGTGTGTTGTGTGTGTTGAGTGTGTGTGCTGTGTGGTGTATTTGTACGTGTGGGGGGAGTGTGTATGTGTGTGTGTGTGTGAGAGAGAGCGCTCTGAGACGTTAGCCTGCGTAGAGGGTGCTATATAAGTGCAAGTTGTTGCTGTTGTATGTGTACAAGTGTGTGGAAGTGTGTGTAACATACGGTTCCTTGGGTCCAGTAACATGAGGGACACGGGAAGGAAAACTGCTAATTTGTGGCTCAATTAACATCGAAGTCACTGGTCACGGTCACTTAGCTGAGTAATGAGCAGACCTTCCAGCTCTGACCTTGGAGCCTGTGACTGACGCTCGGAGATTAGAGTAAAACCAAACACAGCAACCGATGCTCCCACAGCAAAATATTCCCACAAAACAGGCGTGAAGCGAACAAGCCACTTTACCTGGTGGGGTGGGGGGATTGTCAGCCAGGACACCGGGAGACAGAGCGAAACTCCCTCCTCATTACCCTACAAAAACAGTCACTACGTGTGTTGTGTGCTACCAGCACAGGCTGAAACAACGACAAGTTACACAACGCCTTTCGTGTCGGGAGGACGTCCCAAGGCGCTGGGGGCTGGGGTCGGGAGGGATGGTGGGCAGGGAGGGTGGGGATAAGAGGGTGCCCGGAGGCACGGTCGAAGAGGAAAGTCTTGAGATGGGCCGCGAAGGAGGCGAGGGAGGGAGAGGGAGCGAGGTGAAGGGCCTGTGGGATGGCGTTGCTGAGGGCGGCTGGTTTCGATGTGGGTCTGTCTCCGCTGTGTTACTGTCACGTCGTCCCGGGGTTTAACTCGCGCTGATCCGAGCTTCGGGAGACTTTCCCCGATTGCGGCACAGGTCAGGAACGCTGGCTGCGGTTTCCTGGTTACTCGCCAATGACAATTAATGATTAACTCACCATCCGTGAGAACCGCAGGCAAACAGTGATCTACAGTGAGCCCAGGGGCCAGCAATAATAACCATCCTCACGTTCGATGCACAGCGCTCTTCACATCGGGAGGACGTCTCAATGAGCTTCGCATAATTAAGTGTAGTGACTGTGTGTTTCTGGACGGACAGAGCAGCCAATTTGCGCACAGCAACGTCCCGCAAACAGACATGAAGTGAAGTGAACGACCTATTTTACCTGGGGGGATGTGAGGGGGGGAGGGGGGGTTTGTCAACCACGACACTGGGAGAATGATACTCCTGAAAAGCGCTTTGAGACGTCCTCCCAGAATGAAGGGTGTGACATCAACGGATTATTTGATATGACAATAATGATCATAACTGAACTATTTTGTACCATTATATAACTAATCTCTCTCTCCCTTTCTCTCTCTCCCTCCTCTGTCACTCTTTCTCTCTCTTCCTCTCCTTCTCTCGCCCCTCATCTCCTCCCTCTGCATCTCTCTATTCCTCTGTTTCTCTCTCCTCCTCTCTTTCTCCTCCTTCCCTTTCTCCTCTCTCCCTCTCGCCAGGTCTGTCCATGGCTAACTTCAAGGGACATGCTCTGCCGGGCAGTTTCTTCCTGCTGTTCGGGCTCTGGTGGTCGGTGAAGTTTCCGCTCAAATACCTGGGGAGGAAGACGAGGCCGGGATGCCATGCATCCTCACGACCCTGTTACAGTCGGATCGAGCTGGCCGAGGGCGTCGCCAAAGCCGTCTTCTCCCTGGTGGGTGAGTACAGCCCGGAGCTCAGTTGTTAGACCACTCGCCTCGTAAACAAGAGGACCTGGGTTCCATTCCCAGGCAGGACAGGGCAAAACCTTAGGCAAGTCTCCTTACTCCACACACGCGCCTCTGTCTACTTGGCAGTAAACTAGGAGCCTGGTTGTTAGTCGATTGGGTTAGTTCATGGGTTAATAACCCCCCAAAAAACATTGATCACTCAATCCACCTCTGTTTTGTGGGGACGCTGCTGTACGCGATTGGCTGCCGCGTTTCGTCCACAAAATACACAGTCACTACACTTTACAGTGTATCCTGTGAAGCGCTATGAGACGTCTCGAAGACGCGATAAGGCGCTGTGTCAAATGCAGGGATTATTATTATTATTATTAAACCTGCTCCGGAGAACCTTGAAGGAGGTGAGGAAAGGAGCGAGTGGTATACGGAGTCTAGAATGAATAGGGTCACGCGCTCACACTCTCTCTCTCTATCTGTCTCTCTGTCCCTCCCCTCCGTCTCCCTCTCCCTCTGGGCTGCAGGAATCCTGGCGGAGCAGTTTGTTCCTGACGGCCCACACCTGTGGCTGATGTCGGGGGAGAAACACTCGTGGGTGAAGCTGATGAACTGGCAGCACAGCACCATGTACCTGTTCTTCGGCATCTCCGGCCTCGTCGACATCCTGAGCCAGACCGGCCCCCGCCTGCCCCTCGGGCTTGACCGCCTGGCGCTCTCCCTGGCCGTGTTCATAGAAGGTCAGCGCCTCTGTCCGCCCGACAACACGCCTGTCAGTCACACGGCAACACATCACACGCCAACATGTCTACGTGCTAACACGTCTCTCTGCCACACACGCCAACACCGTCCAACACGCCAACATGCCACAAGCCTATACAGACCACGGGCCTACGCTACCGCTCACACACTCGCTCGGGGTGACATTGACCCTCTCTCTCTCTCTCTCCGCAGGTTTCCTCTTTTATTTCCACCTTCACAACCGGCCGCCGCTGGATGTGCACATCCACTCGCTGCTGCTGACGGCGGTGTTCGGTGGAGCCTTCACCATCGGGCTGGAGGTTTTCCTGCGAGACCACATTGTCCTCGAGATGTTCAGGGCCAGCCTGGCCATCCTGCAGGGAACCTGGTTCTGGCAGGTCAGCTCCTCCCCGACGTCCTCAACCGCTCCCCGTCCGTCTGAATCACGACTCCTCCCGCCCGTATTCTCACCCGCAACAAACTCCATCGTTGAGACGTCTCAAAGCCCTTCACAGGGCATACAACAGCCGAGAGCAGCTTGGGATTTACATAGTGCCTTTCATGTGGGGTAGAGTCCCGGATCACTGGAGGTTTTCCTGCGAGACCATCTACACTGTAAAGTGTAGTGACCGTATATTTTGAGGGCAAAACGCGGCAACCAATCGTGAACAGCCGTGTCCCACGATCAGTCATGCGTTGAGCGACCAATTTATTATTATTTTTTTTGAGGGATCCACCAGTCGACTAACAACCGGGTTCCTACTTACTGCTGGGTAAATAGAGGCGTGTGTCTGTGTGTGTGGAGTAAGGAAATTTGCTTAAGGTTTCGCCCTGCCCGGGAATCGAACCCAGGTCCTCTACCCTCTCGAGGCGAACGCTCTAACCGCTGAGCTACAGGACTCCACGAGGCAGAGTAATGATTATCGTACTGCTCCCACTCCCAGCTTCCAGTTCCTCAGGACAGGAGGCGATGGGTCTTTATAATAAATAATAATAATCCTTTTGCATTTGACACAGCACCTTATCACATCTTCGAGACGTCTCAAAGCGCTTCGCAGGATACAGTGTAAACTGTAGTTAACTGTATTTTGTGGGCAAAATTTTCTCTGGTTTCAGATCGGGTTTGTCCTCTTCCCTTTCCGCGGGTGGCAGACGTGGGCCAGCGATGACCACGGCAACATGACCTTCATCACAATGTGTTTCTGTTGGCATTACGCTGTGTCCCTCTTCATCATCGGGGTCAACTATGCACTGGTCTGCCTGTGAGTACACAGCACCCCATCGACAAGCTACTCCACGTGTCACCTCACATCAACACACCATATGCCGCCACGCCACGTAGGCCACACAAGGTGCCAACAGGCCAAGCACTTCCTTTGAGATACCTTCATTTGTTCCTCTTGAGAGCAGAGGTCCTCACGCTCTCTCTCCAGCCTCCCTCTCTCCGGGTGTCAGCCAAACACTGACTGAGCCCCAGCACTCCCACCCCCAAACCTCAGTACAACAAGCTTGACATCATTAAGCAATACACACAGCCTGTGACTGACTGACTGGCCCAGCATAACATCGAGTTAGACACAGACTCCAGGCTCCACTATTTCTCTATGTTGAATTAGCTCATCAACCAGGGAGTCAGCTTGTCATGTTGTCAATAACTGCCCCCCCCCCACACACACATGGTTAGTGACAGGTCACAGCACTGACTTACCTTCGCTGTTACCCTCCCAGGTGTGTGCACATGAAGTCAAAGAAGGATGGAGGGCTGGAGCTGGGGAACCTCAAGTCATCGCGGGAGAAGAATTCCCAGCTTTCTCTGCTGAACGGCTCTGACGAAGAGTGAAGTGGCTTCTTCCAATCCGGACTTCCAACTGACACTCAGCCCGGCCCGGATCAATCACCGGCCCCCGATCTCTCTGCCGTGATCGATCACCAGCCCCAGTCATAAGGCCCTGATCAGTAACCCCGACCCGATCGATCACCCGGTCCTTATCAATTCACAGGCCCCGATTGATTGCCCACCATCTTTCTGTATCTAAATTAAATATTGTTTTCATTGTTTCTGGACTTTCTAAATCTCGTCTCTGGTGAGAGGGTGGAGGGGGAGAGGGGAATATCCCAGGACACCGGCAGATCCCCCCCACCCCCTCCTTCCTTCTTGACCCGTCCCCGCCCGCCTTTCACCTGTTCCTCAATCAGCTGCCATGGTGACGGGCTGCCCTGGGCAATCAGTGGTCTCACCTGGGTTGTCACAGTGAGGCAGTCAGTCAGTCAGCGTGGAATTGGCTGTAAAAACGCCTCTCGCACATTCCAGCCCAGCCCGAGAACCCGAGCTCAGGCACAAAGGCTGAAACCTGCAGAGCCAGTCCCTGGAGCAGTCGCCCGGCAGCCTTCACTTCACCGTAGGTTCTGTGAAGCGGGTCGAGACGGCCAGAAGACGTGAAAAACACTATTTCTAAATGCAAGGATTATTATCATTATTGATAGTAATTCCTCCCTCTGCCCCAAAGCCAGCGGGCACTTGGCTCCACAGCTCCTTCCAGTGGAGACAGTTAGCCCTGAACACAAGAGAACAGGAGAAACCAGGTTGTCACGTACATCAGCGGGTCAGGTTTCAGGCTGGGTCACAGTAAACAAACCCTAAACATGTGCCATTCGTTAGGAAGGTCACACCCGCCACCAGGAAACAGGCTGCGCGAGAACAGCCAACAGGGAGGGGAAAGAGACCATGTGTAGTAATAATAATAATAACAATAATCCTCGCATTTGGAACAGTGCCTTTCACGTCAGGACGTCCCAAAGCGCTTCACGGGATGTGCTGTGAGATGGAGTAATTGTATATTTGCAGGTAAATGTCCCACAAACAGCCATGTTTTATCTTATCCGGGGATTGTCGGCCAGGACACCCGGGGAGAGAAACTCTTTTCCTTTTTCGAATAACCCCCACAGGATTGTTAACGTCCACCTGAGCAGCAGACGGGAGCTCGGTTTAAAATCTCATCCAAAGGACCACAACTCCGACAGTGCAACACCACCCACCACCTCCCCACCCCCTTTCCTCCCCCACCCCAGGACTGCACTGGAGCGTCAGCTTAGACGCTGTGATTCCAAGTCCTGGCATCGGGGCTTGAACCCACAACCTTCTAACTCGGAAGCGAGAGAGGAGCAACCAACTGAGCCAGGCTGACACTGACTCAAACTCAGGACCCGACAGAACACCAACAGCAGTTACTGCACGTTCGAGTTTCTTCTGGGATTGACAAGAGGATCGTCCCGGACACGTGCAAACCTCTCACCACAAGCAAACACCTCGCTGGGCTGTTTACTCTTTGCTTTGCTCAGTCACTCAGGTGACCTGACTGTCACCAAAGGACTTGGCTGTAACCTGGATACACAGCGACAACGATCAGTCACTGAGGTGGAAAAGGAACGACCTTGGTGAAGAACGTGTCACATCAAAGAAAGTAACTCAAAGTGAACCTCATTTCCTGCCCGGTGTAGTGACTGTTTTTGTTGGGCAGCTCAGCGGCTATTTGCACCAGCAAAGGCCAGGGACACAGGCACAGATCAGAGCTCAGGGCAGTCGGTTGATCGCTGTGAATTGAAATCTAATTGAAAACCTGGGCGAGGGTTAGCTCTGAGGAAGGACATTGCTTCAGTCCCCGATAGCACACCTTTCCCACAGGTGCCAGGAGCTCAGCGTAATAAACCCTCGCGTTGTCAGGAAAGCGGTGAGTTCTTGTGAACGCTGACTCCTTACACAAACATTTCCCGTCGTGGTGTGCAGTCAGTCACACGCTAATCCACCGTCTACAAACTGCTAATGAGAGATGCTCAGCATACTGAGGGTCTTACACAAATCACTTTATTATATTTACTGTACAGTCTGATGAAATAATAATAATACTTGCATTCGATATAACGTCTTATCACGTCTTCAGGACATCTCAAAGCGCTTCACAGAACACACTGTAAAGTGAATTGACTATATTTTGTGGCTGAAACGCGGCAGCCGATTGCACACAGCAGTGTCCCACACACAGTCGTGGAATGAGTGACCAAATTATTATTATTTTTATCTATTTTTGTAGGAAGAATTATTACTCCCAGAAAAGCGATCTGCCAATCGACTAACCCAAACCGGGTTCCTACTTACTGCCGGGTAACCTGAGGCTTGTGTGTGGAGTAAAGAACCTTGCCTGAGGTTTAGCCTTGCCAGGGAATCGAACCCGGGACCTCTCGCTTGCGAGACGAGCACTCTAACCACTGACTCCAACATAGAGCCAGACGAGGTGACACTCAGTGAACACACTGACCAGTGTTGGTGCTCTCGGTATTGAGCAGGAAATTGGGAAACATGGGCAATAAATAATTAATGTCTCGCACTCGAGACTCTCCGAGCCACCGGCACAACCATCATTGATCTTGTGTCTGCTTCATGGAGGGGGCGGTGGTCACGACCATGGTGGAGCCGGGTTTGGTGGAGCCCACGGCGGTGCCTGAGTGAAGCTGCTGTGCCGAAACGTGCTGGATCCTCACCTTCAAACCAACAAGTAAATAGCGGTGAGAGGGGGCGCTGTGCCTGTTCACACTCTCTCCCTCAACCGCTCAATAATAATCCTACAATAATCCTTGCATTTGATACACAGTCCTATCACGTCATTGAGATGTCTCAAAGCGCTTCACGGAATACACTGTAAAGTGTAGCGACTTTGTAATTTGTGCAACTGATTGATCCGTTTTGCCCACAAAATACAGTCAATTCATTTTACAATATATCCTGTGAAGCTCTTTGAGACCTCTCGAAGGCGTGATAAGGCGCTGGGTCAAATGCCAGGATTATTATTATTATTTATTAATTGTGCATTAGTGCAAATGATTAATCCTCTCCTTCTGCACACAAGCCTTGATGACTGTTTAGACTCGGCCTCTTGTAAACCCCACGTGTGCCTGTAGTAACCAGGGATTACTGTACAGTGTGATCCTGTACACAGCCCACACTTGTCTTCATCGACCACAATGCAAATCCTGCTCCACAGGATCCAAAAACCCAATAAACTGCTTCCATTCACAGAACAACGACGACAACGACGACGTGCATCTCGATAGCGTCCTACACCAGGATAACAGCTCGGAGAGCTTCATATTCACGAGGTCAAATTTTTTTTTCTTCTTTTGGTCAGAGGAAACCCATCACATCCTCCAAACCCAAACTGCATCCCACACCTAAGGGAGCCACGCAGTGATCACACTGTGCTGGGCTGTGCTGGGCTATGCTGTGCTGCGCTGGGCTGTTCTGCGCTGTCCCACTTACCTGGGTGGCCTGGCCTTGCTGTTGGAGTTGCTGCAGTTGCTGGGCTGTCACAAAGCTGACCGGCTTGTTCCCCGCCAGCAGCTTGGTCCCAGCCGGCATGGTGGTCAGAATGATGTTCCTGCCGAGCCCACTGATACTAGAGCAAGAAAGAGAGAGAGAGAGAGAGAATGTGAGAGACAGAGAGAGAATGCAAGAGAAAGAGAGGATTCTTTTTGATCAGCCGAGTGTCTGACACAATTGGAAACCCATCACCAGGCTTAAGAGTCTCTATGATTATAATTCCCCTGATGTGACTTTCACTCCCCATCGCTCCAGCCCCCACTCCCCCAGCTCCTGCGCCCCGCCCACCCCCCACCACCCTCGACCCGTGCAGTTATCACTCACTTGGCCCCGAGGTTTCCCTTGATGATCGGTCCTGCCATCAAGCCTTTGCCTTTCAGTGGTTGGTTCAGCACTGACAGAGGCACGGTGATCGTTGCCGGCAGTTTCGTCTGAACAAAGCAAATCAGGGAGAGACGTCAACAAGATTAACATCGACTGTGGATACTGCGAAGATAGCTACTTAACGTAGAGGCATTGTGTACCTCGGTCTATCAATAAGTTATACTCCCACATCCAAGGGAATAGGTCGACATCTAAATGGACCAAACATTCACTGAAATAATAATTTTGATACAGCGCCTTATCACGTCTTCGAGACATCTCAAAGCGCTTCACAGGATACACTGTAAAGTTAGTTGACTGTATATTTTGTGGGCGAAACGCGGCAGCCAATTCCGTCCCACAAACAGCCGTGGATCGAATGACCCAAAGCTTTCAAAATAAAAAAAGATAATTTTTTGGAAAGGATGATTATCAGACTGACAGGTCAGACAACCATCTCCCATCTCCACCCACACCCCCCACTTCCCCACCGCGCTCCTTGCCCCACAAGTTGAGTCAAAAAGCGGTCACCGTCTCCCGAAGGCAACACGTCCTTTAAACCCAACTCACTGGGCAGAGAGGTGCCGCGAGGCTCGGCTTTCTTACCGCCTGCGACGTGGAGACCACGGTGGCGCTGACGGGGACCTGCCTGACGGTAGCCGTGCCTTTGCCGATTGAGATGGACCTCCCGACTCCCGGTGCCGCCATAGTGACGGTCGTGGCCCCCGCCGTACTGACCGCGGCCAGAGCCACCGAGGCCGTCGTCACCGTCGCGGCCGGTTTGGCCGAGGTCAGCTGTTTGCCGGAAGTCACAGAGATGGTCTGGCCGGCCTTCTGCGGGATGACTCCCAATCCCGGCATGATCCTGATGGTGGCCGCCGGCTTGGTGTCCGTGGAGGAGGGAGCAGAGCCGGCCTTGCCCTTCTGATCAGCCACCGTCATGGCTAAGGCCGGCATGAGCCGGATGGCTGTGTTGTTAGCGCTCGCCTCGGTGGCTTTCAGATCCGACGTCACCTTCACCATCGTGGAGGAGGAGGAGGTGGTGGTCTTGGTCAACGCTTTGGCCACAGAGTCCTTCGAGTTCATGTGCAGAGTGGCCGAGATCCCTTTAGCCCCGAGCATGTCCGGGGTCAGCTTGACAGTGGTGACCGGGGCTTTGGTCAGCGTGGCCATCATGTCCTGGGTGATGCGCAGCACAGTCTGGCCCTTGGAGTCGGTGGTGATGGAAGACGGAGCCAATCGCAGGACGTCCTTACCCTGGATACGGATGTTAGTGGCCGTGAGCGGGATTCCCGTACCGGACGGACCCTTCATTCCAAGCTGCCCGGAGATGGCAACCTACAAATCAATATTGCAGCATAATATAATAATAATCCTTACATTTGATACAGAGCCTGATCACGTCTTCGAGACGCCTCAAAGCGCTTCACGGGATATATTGTAAACTGACTGGGTATTTTGTGGGCGAAACGCGGCAGCCAATTGCACACAGCAGCGTCCCCACAAACAGCTCGACAGTGATGGAGCACCACACCGAGCCGGGGGGGAGGGAGTGGGGAGGTGACTGTAGGCACAGTCGAGGTGGAAGGTCTTCAGGAGTGAGCCGGACTGAGACCCACCTGGCGTACGATGCTCTGGCCGGACACGCTCTGGATAATGGTGGCAGCGGAGGTTGACGCTGTGCTGCTGATGGCGCTGGTCACGGTTTTGGAAGCAGCGCCGATCCCACTGACGGTGATGGTTTTCCCAGCGCTCTGCTGGATCTGCACCGGGCCGGCACCTGTCTGGGCCTTCACCGGCACCGTCATAACCGACTGCGGAAATAATCGGGAAATGTATAAAATCCCAATGAGCCAACGTCGTTCGCTCCAACCGCACAGGATTCCACTGGATCCAACCCTTCCCATGGACTATTCCTGACAATAACAACAACAAATAACATTTTCAAGTCGGGAGGACGTCCCAGGGCGCTGGACAGTCAGGGATTTGACCCGAGCTGGGGGTTGGGATCAAGAGGAGTGGAGGGTAGGGAGGGTAGGGGTAGGAGGGTGACCGAAGGCCCGGTCGAAAAGGAAGGTCTTGAGATTGAGCCCTAAACAAATTTATATAGCGCCATTCGCGTCAGGAGGAAGGTCCCAAGGTGTTGACTGGAGTTTCTGACCCAAGCTCAGCAGTATTTAATGCTCAACACTGAGGAAAGTGAACCTCTGGCCACACAGATCACCGAGAGATTGCGGAGATGGAGATTAGCTGCTTACCTGAGGCAGCACCTTGGTGTGAGTGGAGGCACTGACAGTGGGAAGCCTGATCTGCTGTTGGACCTGCTGCACCACGGAGGCCTGCTGAGCGCTGGAGGGCAGGCCTTTCTGGGAGCTGAGAACCCGGACCTGGGGCAGAGAGCCCGACAGGGAATGGGACACCACCCGGGCCTGGGGCTGCGTGCTGACCCGATGCCCAGGCTGGGCTGCCGACAGCAGGGTGCTGAGCTGAGGCATCGTGGGCGAGGACACCAGCAGGACACTGAAACCAGCAATAAAACCCGTTCAGAACACAGAACAGCCACGTTTCTCTCCACGTGTATTCTCCTCAGTCAATCGGTTATTATTAATGATAATGATGTAAATAATCCTTGCATTTGGTACAGCGCCTTATCACGTCATCGAGACGTCTCAAAGCGCTTCGCAGGATACACTGTAAAATGTATTTTACAGTGTATCCTATACAAAAATGTATTTTGTGGGAGAAAGGCGGCAAATTGCACACAGGAGTTATCCAATTCTTCTGCAGAAAATCATCACCAAGCTTAAGAGTGTCCAAACCAAACTGAGATTTCCATGTATCTCACCTATACGTGGAAATCCCCAAGATATTGTTGGAATGGAATGAGCTCTCTCTCTCTCCCTGGAGGGACGACGCATCCTGCTTACCTAATTCCGGAAAGCATTAGGCGCAGGTCGGCAGGAGCCAAGGCTTGGGAGAGAAGCCCAGAGTGTGTGTGGCGGAAGGGAGGTCTGGTGGGGGAGGGTGTAACTCCTGGAATTTAACCAGCTAAAAGCACATAGCTCCAGGCACAGAGGACAACAACAACAACAAAGACAAGGAGCAAGAGAAAGTGCATGTGAATACTACACTGTAAACCTGAAGCAGATCGGAGAGAGGACCAGGATCACAAACCTTTGGTTAGACTTGGGCAGCTCTGGTGCACTGGTGGTTGGGTTTTTGCTGACCTCGGCGGATGCGGGCGGTGATGTGGGCGTGACCGGTAACGTGGGGGTGACGGGAGTGGTGGGGGTCGCTGGGGGTCCGGGGGTGAGGGGGGTCGGGGGCAGGCTGGGGTCCGGCAGTAACTGCTCACAGGCGGAGGCTTTTCCTCCACTTTCCTTGCCGGAGGGCTTCTGGGTGGAAGCACATCATTAAAATACATCCGGAACCCAAACGCAGGAACTACAATAATAATAATAATCCTGGCATTTGAACCAGCGCCTTATCACACCTTCGAGACATCGCAAAGTGTTTCACAGGATATACTGTAAAGTGTAGTGACCGTATATTTCGTGGGTGAAACACAGCAGCCAACTGCGCACAGCAGAGTCATGGAATGAGTGACAAATTTTTTTGTGGGGGATTATTACTCCTGGAAAGCGATCCGTCAATTGACTAACAACCGGGTTCCTATTTACTACAGAGGCGTGTGAAGCTACGAAACTTGCCTAAGGTTTCGCCCTGATCCCGCCCGGGAATCGAACCCAGGTCTCTCGCTTGCGAGGCGATCGCTCTAACCACTACGCTACGGGACTCCACAATGAAACCTGGAGATACACAGCAGGTCACCGAGAAAACAGGTACCAACCGCTGAGAGGCGATCTATCCTGCAGATCAATACTTACAATCTTGGTTGTCAGTTTGGGTTTCTGTTGTAAGGCTTTTTTAGCTTTAGCAGCTACAGCCTGAGCCTGGTGAATCCGCTCTGTAATAAAAACACAACACATTTCACACCAGGGGAACAGGGGCGAAAGCCCGACTGAAGGCACGGTCGAAGAGGAAGGACTTGAGATCAACCTTGAAGGAGGCGAGGGAGAGGAGCGAGGCGGAGGGACTGTGGGATGGAGTTCCGGAGGGTGGGGCCGGAGAGGCTGAAGGCCAGACCTTGCATATCAAACGCGAGGACTGTGGTAGAAGCCACACCAGCCTGGCTGACAGATAACTCACCAAACTCCTCCTCACTGCGGTTCCGGTGGAGGTAAATCCACAACTTCCGGCCGATGTCGTATTTAACACACGGATCTTTCTCGTAGTGTAGCCGGTCAAGAGCACCACTGACAACAGTGTTAATCTGTGTCAGAGAGAGAGGGAGAGAGAAGAGAAAGCGCAGATAATACAATTATAATAATAATAATTCTTGCGTTAGATATAGTGCCTTATCAGTTCGTTGAGAAGTCTCAAAGCGCTTCACAGAATACACTGTAAAGTGAATTATATTTTGTGGGTAAAGCGCGGCAGCCAATTGCGCACAGCAGCGTCCCCACACACAGTCGTGGATTGAAGTGACCAATTTCTTGGGAGAGGAAGGGCCTCCTCTCCACCCAGTACAAGCATGGCGTCACTCTCTCTCTCTCTCTGCTGCTGCTGCTGCCGGGAGTTGTTCAGTCACTGACCTGAGCGCTGGTCACCTCTGGAGCCAGAAACTGCGAGTCCTTCAGCAGCTCACAGATCTCCGCTCGGGTCCCCTCGCCGTTCGGCAGGCGGGCAGCTGCATCACGCACTGGGGGAGACAAACACACGCGTTAAAACTGGTGTCGACGGGGGCGAGGGGCAGAATACTAAACTAACAGCTCTATAGGTCAGGCAGCATCTATAAAGATGTTTCAGGTCGATGACCTTTCGTTAGGATGTTACGTTGACTCACTTTCCTCCCTCCGGAGATGCCGCCCTGAGATTGCTACCGACTGGACCGCGCCAAGGCTGACAAACGTTAGCCCGTTTCCCCACGCTGCGTCATCCGAACCCCCAGCCAATCGAGAGGTGGAGGTTTCGGGCTCTTACCCAGGGACAGGATGGTGACGTACGCTGGCCTATCCGATCGGAGCAGCGAGTGCTCTCGTGCCTTATTCAGCGACGGATCCTTGTCGAACACTCCCTTCACTGGCCCGACCATGGACTCGAACCCGTGCATGCGGAACGTGAAGGCTTTGTGAGGCTGGCTGTATCGCTGGCGTTCCTGAGGACACAGCGGTGGAAGTGAAAGACGATCTGTATCCCCCCGCGCCCCCTCAAGCCTCTATCCTTTATAGACCCCGTTGTCTCCTTCCCTTTCTGAAGCCCACAATGGCCTCTGCCTCAACCCCCCCCTCACTCGACTGGACACTCCACATCCCAACAGCCAGTAGATGGTAAGTGCCTGCGGAGTGCAAAACGACAGCCGACGCCGGACACACTAAACCCCGACTGACTCTCACCTGCTCCTGGAAAACACGCTTCTCCTCTCCCGTGCTCGGTCTCACCACGTAGTCTGTTCTCCTGCAGTTAAGCAAACCCCACACGTCACGCGCAACAGCAATGGAAAGAGCAGCAGTCACCCCCCCCCAACACCCTGACATGTGAAGGGCCAGGCGGGGTCACGGGGCTCATCACCCGCTCTGGCAGGAATTCGGATCGGCTTCCACGTTACCGGCAGAACCTCGACTTTGCCAAACACTCCCCACATTTCATGACATTTGCCGTTCCATTGAGTATTATTGGAAGAGAATGTGAACAGGAGGCAAACTCACCCCCCACAAGTGGCCCCACCCCTGCCCAGCAGATGGCCCCGCCCCTGCCCAGCAGGTGGCCCCGCCCCTGCCCAGCAGGTGGCCCCGCCCCCGGCCAGCATCTGAACACTTACACCCTGGGGGTAGGTGGGGTCACATCTGCGAGCTCCTCGCTCTCGACCTTGGGGAAGACCTGCTGCTTGGTCTCCAGCCACAGGAGACACAGGGACGTAATTTCTTGTTCCGAGTCCCGGCTGGAACCTAGCGAGAAACCAACAAAACAAATCAGTTTCTCGCCTCATGGCTGTTTAACGGGGCGTCGCTGTGCGTAACCAGGCTGCTGTATTCACCTACACACACACATTGTCACTGCGCTTTACAGTGATTTCCTGTGAAGCGCCTTGAGACGTCTTCCTGACGTGAAAGGTGCTGTTATCAAATTTAGACTACTGCTATTCTTAGCCAAGTCGTGATTCCTGGCGTGTTCTTTTGATACCAGTCCCGCTCAAGTCCATAAAGACGCACCTCGGTACAAAATCATCTCTCAATCAACTCAGTCCGCAAGCTTCCATTTTTAAAAACTTATACATAGCTTGGATGAATGTGACCAGGGAGAATATTTATGCTACTGCAGCTTTATTGCAGGTTTCTGGGGTTTAGAAATCCTTGTAGAAAATGCACGGATTTATTATTATTATTATGAAAAACCATCAGTCGTTCAATAGCAGGACAGAGGGTACAATAAGGTAAAACTATTGACCATTTTATTGCATCTTTATTTTTAGCTTCATAAGGAAATTAACTGAGAAACAGCCTAACAGCTAACCATCCTTGTACTGACACTCACCAATCCACTTCCACTGGCCTCGCTCTCTGCAGCTCACGTAGGGAGTGAAGTTGGGCGGAAGGGCTGCCAGTCCTCCTGTTGGGAACAAAGTTAGAGAGACCGGAGAGAACCTGGGAACCTCCTGAAACACACCACACACCGAGAGAGCGACTCAACACTCCAGATTACAACAACAGAGATTGTGCATTTATACAGCGCCCAACGAGTTTAGAGGCTGAGTAAAGAGGACTGTGGCAGCAAATGCAACGTGGAATTAGAGAGCTATCCGGGGAAGAAATCAATGTGAGGAGTGTGAGACATGAAGGAGTGTAGGATGACGTTGAATTTAATTTTGGTTTGAGCCACAATCGCCTTTGCCCAGTCCTGTCCTGTACGTTATTGGGGACTTGGTTCTTGGTCTAAGACTTACCTGTGCTTTCCCCGGCGAGGAAGCGCAGAGCAGGAAGCACGAGCTCAGTCCAGTTGGAGGCCACGGAATACCAGAGGTTGAGAGCGCTAGCTGCGGAGATCTGCCATTCCAGCACCTTCTCCTCAATCTGGGGGGGGGGGAGGGTGAATAACATCGGGAATAAAAACACGGAATTCACCTTGAGAGCTCGTGCCTTTCTACACGGGAGATGCACAGCGGTTTCCCAAACACAGTGTGGATTGAGTGACTTAATTATTAATTTTTTTTTTTAAAAAGGATTATTACCTCCGGAAAGTGATCCGTCGATCAACTAACAACCGACTTCCTACTGACTGCAAGGTAAACAAGAGGCGTGTGGGGTAAGGAAACTTGCCTATGGTTTTGCCCCGCCCGGGAATCAAACCTGGGTCCTCTCGCTTGCGAGGCGAGTGCTCTGCCCACTACGCTATGGGACTCCACGGGATTCGCAGTGTGAGGTCAGGCAAGTGTGATCGCTGCTCTGGTACATACCACGGCTAGACTGCCCTCGCCCTCCGCCAGCAGGATCTCCTGTAACAAGCTGAAGAAACAGCCAGCGATGCCAGGCACCGCAGCCGGCTTCGGCACATCCAGAGCCCTGCACAACACACAGGCGTCAGGCAAACAAAGGGTTAATAATGCACACATTCACCCATAAACATAATAATCCTGGCATTTGACATCGTGCCTCATCACGTCTTCAAGACGCCTAAAAGCGCTTCACAGAATATACTGTGAAGTGTAGTGACTGTACATTATGGGAGCAAAACGCGGCAGCCAACTGCGCACAGCAGCGCCGCACAAATATTCGTGGATTGAGTGACCAAATTATTATTTTTTAAAGGGATTATTGCCCTCGGAAAAGTGACCCACCAATCGACTAACAAACGGGTTCCTCCTGACTGTAGGTAAACAGAGGTGTGTGGAGTAAGGAAACTTGCCCAACGTGACGTTCTGCCCGGGAATCGAACCCGCGTCCTCTCACTTGCGAGGCGAGCGCGATAACCACTGAGCTACAGGGACTCCACAAACATATGATGTGAAAGCACAAGCAACTCACTGGTCGGCGATGGCTAGTGGCCGGGGTTGGGGTTGTGACTCGGGGGGAGGTGGGAGCGGCCCCTCCGCCCCCGACGACTCAGTCAGATCCTCCGGCTCTGTTTTGATCACCTTCAGCTTCTTTTTCTTCCTCTCCTCTTTCTCTTTCACTTTCTTCTTTGGCAGCGTGAAATCTAGCAGAGCTTGGGAGAGAGGGAGAGATAGCGAGGCATTGGTTTCCGACTCTTCCTATCCAACAGAGCGAACGTCAGCCTATCCCTAGGTTGGGAGACCAGGATAGTGATAGGGATATTCCTATCTAAATGACACCCAAACATTAGGTTATCCACACAACGCAAAGACACTGGAAGAAACGTTTCACTCACCAGCCAGGGACCCTCTTCGGCCAGTGTTCACCCGAGCAATTATGTCGCTCAGGGTCAAGTCTCCAGTTGCCAGATCTGGATGGTCCTGGGTTTCGGGAACAAGAACAAGTGGGTGTCATCTTAACATCAGAGCTAGCAGTGAAATCAGGAAGCACTTTTTTCACACAAAGGGTAGTGGAAATCTGGAAATCTCTCCGCCAAAAGCCTGTGGATGCTGAATCCATTGAGATTTTCAAGACTGAGCTGGAGAGGTTTTTTTCCTAAACTAGGAATATGGGGCAAAGGTTCCGGAGTTACTCACCGGATGGCGTTTTCGCTTCTCAAGATGTTTCCTTAACATCATTTTCAAATCGTCATCTCCCAGTTCATACTTATCTGGGGGCAGAGAAACAGTAAGTGAATGCACAGAATTCACACAGAAGGACGGGCAGAAAGAGACATTCTATATACTGAAGTGGAGAAGAGGGCGGACAGGACATGCTGTCTCTCTGACACGCTGTTTTTCCCCTCTCTCTCTGAGCAGCTCATTCAAACATCGAGAGTCAGAGCAACTGAGTGTGTCCAACTGGTCCATTCATTTCCAGCAAAATTTGGTTCTTTAATTAAGCAAAACTAACGAGAAACAATTTTAAAATTCTGGGTTTATTATTATTAAATATTATTAGCGCCTTATCACACTGTTGAGGCCTCTCAAAGCGCTTCACAGGATTTACCATAAAGTGCAGTGACTGCGTGTTTGTGGGTGAAGAGGTGAGGTATCAGCGGACTTACCCATTGTCTTCATGTCCTGTGTGGACAGAGTTGGTATTGCTCTTAAGACCACACTGGGGCTGGTGGGATGCGTTGGAGAACTCGGAAGCCATGAGGTTACATCTGTGGACACAAGGTTTAATGTCTCATCTGAAGGGGAGCGCCCCCGACAATGTAACGCTCCCCCCACTATTGTATTGCATTGTCAGTCTAGACTGTGATCTTAAAGTCCCGATGCGTGGCTTACATCCACAACCTTCTGACTCAGGGGCGAGAACGCCGCTGACTGAGCCAGGCTGACCTTAAGGAAGGTTTGCCTCCTGCACCTGGACAACAAGCGCAGTGAGAAACCAACCACGTAAATAAAGCTGCTCCCTGGATGTGGGTGGGAGCCGGTGGTGCTCGGCAAACCAGGAAACCAGACTCCAGCAACCTTGGCAGGTTTACACTGTGGGGAGGAGACAAGATCCTAGGAATGTCTGGTATGTACATGATCGACCCAGAGCAGAGCGCTCGGGAGTCCGGTTTCCCGGATGACATTGCTCTCGTCTGAGGTGTTGGGAAGAGGAACTCTGGCCCAGGACTGTGTGTCTGTGGTGCCCTCTGGAGGCCATACATTCTCACCTTCTCCTGAAAAGACACCACAAGAGTCTGTCTACCTTTCGGGAGACCAGGCTAACACATGCCAGGCTCCGGGCAGGCTGTGGGCACTGCCAGGAGAAGCTGGGACACACAGAAGCTCCCCTGTGCTTGTGTGACAGAGACATCTACAGACGCTGCTGTAGAAACCGTTTCCACAAAGCCAACACACACACAAACTTAAGACACACACACACATTTCCTCACCTTCCTCATCAGAAGAGATGGTGTTATCTTCACACTCCTCCTTCACCTCCCGCAGGATCTTCTCATAGCGTCTTTGCGCTCGCTTCTCCTCCTCCTTCTCGCTGACCGATGTTCGGTATTTCCTCCTCAGACTCGCGTCAGGGCCACTTTTCCTAGCCAGCTCCAACAGCTCCTGAGATATTAACCAACACACACACATACAGATGGGATTTACACATTAGTACAGAACACACCCCACCTCCTGTCACACAAAACATATACCTTTGGTGGCTTATTCTTCAAACACGATGTCTCCCTCCCAAACCCCACTCCACCACCATTTGTCTTTAAAGAACCTCCAGAAAATCTGTTTTGACAGGTCACTTCCCCTCCTCCCCCAGCTTGGTGTCTGGCACTGTCTCTCTAGAGCACTTTGAAACGTGGAAGGTGCCAGGTAAAAATAAGTTGTTGTGGTGCGTGAAGTCAAGCCTACCTTTCTGGAGACCAGGATCTGTTTCAGCAGCTTGTGGAAGTAATGTTGTTGAGAATACAAATAGCGTTTATACTGGGACTTCACACACAGCCGTCTGTACTTCACAACTTCGGGGTTAAAGTGGCCATCTGGGAATCGGGGGGAGAAAACGAGGGGAAGAGGGGGGTAGAGAGAGAGAGAGAAAATGACAGAAGCATGTTATAATAATAGTCCTTGCAATTGATATAGCGCCTCATCGCGTCATCGAGACGTTTCAAAGCGCTTCACAGGATATGCTGTACAGATGGAGCGACTGTGTGTTTTGTGGGCGAAACACGGCAGCCAACCAATTGCGCTTTGTGACAAGCTTCCGGAGTTTCACAACATTCTGAGAGAGAGAGCGAGAGGGAGAGGCGAGGTTACCTCGGAAGAGTTTCTGAGCGATGTGCAGAGGGTTGCCGAAACGGAAGTTCTCCCCCTCGAAGAGATCGGAAATGATGCCGTTCTGCTGCTCCCTCTCGTTCTCCGGTAAGTGGGGCAGGAACTTCCTGAGGTGTTCCCGCTGGGACTCAGACAGAACCTCGTCCCAAGTGCTGCCGCTCACGACATCAAAAAAGATCTCAGGCTAAAATAAAGGCATGGGGGGAGTCCAGAGGAAGGCATTTTTTAAAATCTTTAAAGAGTTCCAGCAACGCACCGCCCTCCCTCCTCCAAACCCAACCACACAGAAAAAAACAAACAAGATTCCCTGAAAAATTAGGACATCTAAGATTTGATGAATCCAGAGTATTCAGCGTTGAGGCTGTCACCAGCACAGGCTCGATGGTCTGAATGGCCTCCCTCTAATGATTTAATTTCTAATCAGAGATCTTAAATCAACAAGAATCCTCCTCCACTTTCCTTCCCCATCTTCAGGTCGTGCCTGAAGAGGTTCCTCTTCGACCGTTCCTACGTTCACCTCCCACCCCCGGCTCGGCATCGGGCTCCGCCACTGTCGAGCGCTGTGTAAATGCGAGTGGTTGTTGTTGTTTCTCCTCACGCGGTGCTGTACTCACATCCTCCAGCAGGTCCTCGGGAAGGCTGACCCTGGTGCCTCCCAACAAGCACTCCTCCATGATGCCATTGACCACTCCGCCCGATACCAGCTCCAGCGGATCCGTCAGCATCTGCTCCAGACCGTCCATTCTGACACACACACACACACACAACCTGGGCAGAGAGCGAGGCAGAGACAGGCAACAACACAGGCCGTCAATCATCTGATTGACCCACCCAACCACCAGCTTCGCTTCACTCCTCACATCCTGAGTTTGGGACCGGGCTTCGTGCGCACTGGATGCCGCCGTCGCTTACAAATATACAGTAGCTACAGGAGATCGTAATCGCCTGCAAAGTGCTGTGAGGCTTATTAAAACTGACAACATTTGCAACGCCGCCCCCCACCCCACCCCCCGACTCTGCCCGTTCAGACTAGCGAGCTCGGCAAAAACAAGAGCAAGAGCGGGGCTACGAGCCTCCTCGTCCACTGTTAAGACCAGCAAACAAAAGGAGGAGGAGGAGGGTGTCAGGCTGACGAGGTTCTCCAGTGGTGACACCAGCTGACACCTGACGCTCACGGGTTACCGCAGGAGCACCACAGGGTCAGGGAATCACAGCAGCAGCAGCAACGCTGGGCCAGAACTTTGTGCAAGATGTTGGGAGAGCGGACACGTGCTGTCACTGCCCGTCTCAGACTCACTGCTGCTCCGCACACACACACACACACACACACACAAGCGCACACACACACACAAGTGCGCGCACACACACACACAAGTGCGCGCACACACACCCACACAAGCGCGCACACACAAGTGCGCACACACACACAAGTGCGCGCACACACACACAAGCGCACACACACACAAGCGCGCGCACACACACAAGTGCACACACACACACACAAGCGCACACACACACAAGCGCGCGCACACACACAAGTGCACACACACACACACAAGCGCACACACACACAAGCGCGCGCACACACACAAGTGCACACACACACACACAAGCGCACACACACACAAGCGCGCGCACACACACAAGTGCACACACACACACACAAGCGCACACACACACAAGCGCGCGCGCACACACAAGCGCACACACACACACACAAGCGCACACACACACAAGCGCGCGCACACACACAAGTGCACACACACACACACAAGCGCACACACACACAAGCGCGCGCGCACACACAAGCGCACACACACACACACAAGCGCACACACACACACACACAAGTGCGCGCACACACACAAGCGCACACACACAAGTGCGCACACACACACAAGCGCGCGCACACACACAAGTGCGCACACACACACAAGCGCGCGCACACACACAAGCGCACACACACACACAAGCGCGCACACACACACAAGTGCACACACACACACAAGCGCGCGCACACACAAGTGCACGCGCACACTCTCAGTTGGTTTTATGTCGTCACGGTATAAATAATCACGATTTATAACCATCAGTGGGATGGTCCGAGGAGTAAAGTTGGGCGGTACAGAGAGTAATCCGCACAACAACAAACAAAATATGAGACACTGAGAGTTTCAGCAAAAACTTTCGTGTGGAGAGTTCTTCCTAAACTCCTATTTAGATCCACGACTGACTCTGCGATTCGCCACATTATTGCCACCGATTTAAAAATGTTAGGAACGGGCGCAGAATCGGCATTTTAATCCTTTGTCCTTCACAAGAGGTGAACTGTCCGTCTCTTCCACCGCCGTCACACACACACACAGCCACACACACACACACACACACACACCCACATACACAGCCACACACACACACACACACACCCACACACACACCCACACACATACACACCCACACATACACACACACACACACACACACCCCACACACACAGCCACACACACACACACACACACCCACACACACACCCACACACACACACATACACACACCACACACCCACACACACACCCACACACACACACATACACACACACACACACCCACACACACACCCACACACACACACCCACATACACACACCCACACACACACACACACACACACACAGACACACACCCTCACAGACAGTAACATGAGCCGCTGGTGTCGGGGCTGTGCCCCGGGCCCCCCCGGGCCCCCCCGGGCCCCCTCCCCCCCCCCCCGGGCCCCCCCGGGCCCCCTCCCGCCCCCCGGGGCCCACTCACCGCCGCCGCCGTCAGGCCGCGCGTCCTCAGCCCCGACACCGGAAACCGGACCTCCGCGACAGGCGTCCGGCGGAAGTGGAGAACCAGACCCCGGAGATTCCGCCCCCACACAGTCCCGCCCCCATAGCCCCGCCCCCAGCAACTCCGCCCCTCCCATAGCCCCGCCCCCATAGCCCCGCCCCCAGCAACTCCGCCCCTCCCATAGCCCCGCCCCCCACATGGTCCCGTCCCCACCAATCCCACCCCCCCCATAGCCCCCACCCCCCCCCCCACGCACAGCCCCCCCCCCCACACACAGCCCCGCCCCCCCCACACACAGCCCCGCCCCCCCACGCACAGCCCCGCCCCCCCACGCACAGCCCCGCCCCCCACACACAGCCCCGCCCCCCCACACACACAGCCCCGCCCTCCCTCCCTCCCTCCCACCGCCTCATTCAGATGTCCGGAAGCGCTTCGCAGGATACGCTGTAAAGCGCAGTGACTGTGTATTTCGTGTGGGTCCAAACGCAGCAGCGGATTCGCGCCCCAACGACGGTCCCACACACAGTGCGTTGGCTGCAAATTGGGGAGTGAGTGACCAATCCGATTCGGGAAGAGAGAGAGAGAGAGAGGGAGAGGGAGACAGCGCCGCGGGATCTTTAACACCATCATCCGAAGGCCAGAACATGAGCTCAAATTAGAGCTGACATTGACCCCCCGCGGTGCCTGGGGGTGAGGAGTGATTATTATGGGGGGGGTTCAGTGGACTGATCAACCCTCTAAGGTGCGACCAAAAACTTCCAGGTTTTTTTTTTTTATTTTATTTTATTTGTTCATCAAACACCTGTTATATAGAACACAACTTCTCTAATGATGTAACAACCACAGGAAATGTACAGTCAACATAAACTCTTAAATAATAAAGCATTAAAATCTCATTCACTAAAACGCTGCCTCCGCCTTCTTCCGCCCTCGTCGCTCGTGAAGAGAATCATGGCTCCAGGCCCGTGCATGCGCTGGGCTGCATGTGTGCTTGCAGTGTACGTGTCAGTTCAAAGTCTGCCAGATTGCACTCTTCCCTGTACAGTTGTGGGGGGAGGGGGGGGGGGGTATGGGGAATTGGGGGGTGCGGGGGGGGGGGAAGAAACGGACCGAGAGGGGAGCAGCACCTGCTGAAGGGACCCATTCTTTCTATCCCCTCTCTTCTCTCAGCCTGAAAACAAAGGTCCACCACTGAATGTTCGTGAGGATTGCTCAGTTGCAATTCACCTCTCTGGACATTGTAGAGGTGAATGTCCACATTGAAGGAATCCAACTGGCCATCTATCCAGCTGGCTTTGCGTTGGGAGGTGTTTGAACGGATATCGCCATGACTTCCTCCAATCCCTGTTGTCCTCGGCCAGCGTCGTGGGCCCACAGCCAAAGGCAAACAGAACGGTTGATGTGTGGGGTTCGTCGGGAACAGTGTCCACCCCATCCATTCATTCGTTAATCAGTCTCTTCCCACCTTATTCCAATCCATTTCTTCTGAATGATTTCTTTAAAAACTGGGTCCGATTCCTCAGAAACGACATAATCATTCTCCGGGTCTCGACGACGCCAACTCCTCATCAGTGCCTCCCTCGGCCCGATCTCCCGGTCTGTCCTCTCTAGGCTCTTGTTCTCCTCCTCCTTTCCTTTTAAGACTCGACCCCGAGAGGGTGAAGGTGACAAGGGGAGGGTGAGGTAATTGGGAGGGAGGGATGAGCTGTAAACACAACAGTCATTCTTTCTCTCTCGCTCGCTCGTTCTTCTTGTTTACAAAAAATGCATGCCGCAAGTTCAGCCTCCACTCCTGGTGGAGCTGGTGACACTGAGGAGGGGACAGAGCTCCCTGAAGTCACCTCTAGGGCTTTGTGATTGGCACGTCACTGGCTGGGTTCCCATTGGCCGTAGTGGTAATAATGAACTGTGTGGGGTGAGGCTGCTGCTGTTGCAGTGAAGTGTCTGTCTGTGCCTGAGATGCACCGAGCCGTACAGCAGGGTTCTGCTTCAGTTCCACCTCCGGCTGCCCTTCTGATATCACGTAGTGAGTCTGAAACATAGAACAAGCCATTACACACAGTGATACTGCATGGAAACAGGCCATTCAACCTAACTTCACACCAGACCCCAACTTCTCCTCTCCCAGGGTATGACCTTTGCAAACATAGGGAATAGAACAGATCTCAATCTTTTGTTTCCTTTATTCACCGTTTTCTTTATTAAAAAAACCCACCAGGCCTTAGGTTAGGAGAGGTGATATTTTCATTGAACTCACTTGAGTCACTGCTTTCACCTGCCCGCTGTTGACTGTGGTAACTGGGGTCTCTGCAATGACGTACTGTGTCTGAGGGATGGCCATCATCTGAATCTCAGAAGCTGGAAAACAGGGAGAACAAACGTGAGCGTCGCTGTACAGAACGAGAAGCAGAATGACGGAGCCCAGACCTGGCCAGCAGTCACGCTGTCCACAACACCAGGTCTGCGATCCCATTGCCCACGTGTAAACTGGCCGCGATTTGCGGCCTCTAAACAGCTGCATGGCTGCCACTGCCGTATGTGATAGAGATGAGATTTACGTGTCTGTACGTGTAAGTACTTTGGGAGGTATTCCCAACGCGAATGGCACTATTATATCAGTGTAAATTGTACGGTAGATGGATAATCACTTACAGTAATTGCGGAAGGTTCCCCAGGTGCTGGGCAGGTAGGTGTGCTGTACTGTAGCCCCCTGTGACTGTGACTGATGTAAAACCTGGTTGGGTGTGTTCGTGCCACTCTGTATATGGGAAGGGCTGAGATCCTGTTCAGACGAGGGGCTCAGCGACTGACCTCCACCACTCTATAGAGATGAAAAACAGATCAAACGAAAAGCTTCGGGAAAGATGGTGCGCTCCTGAGCACAAGTTACGTGACGTAAGCTGGAATGTTTTCATTGTCTCGGTCACTTTAAGGCAGTTTGGCTCCATCTTCAATCTCTGTGTTGCGTGTGCACAAAGGCTTGTCATCCAGCAGTCATCTAGAGCTGCAGATGTAGCTCTTAACATGCAAGAGATTCTTTCAGCCCCATTCGGTCACAGGCTCGGTTCATTCCTTACTTTCCTCAGCTGATTAAAGGCCTCCAGAATTCCCAAAAGCTTCCTCACTTCAGCTCGCATGACTTGCTATTAAAAGCAACCGCACTCCTGGTCTATCCTGGATTATCCGATTGCCAAACAACAACTTTCATTTACGCAGCGCCCCTCACACATGGTACTGCCCCAACCACTTGACAGTGGAATTATCGCCTGCTTCCAACTCTGGGACCAGTAAATTTCTCCTGTAAAGCCACTGCTCTCTCGTGCCCTTACCCCCTCGCTCTGCCTCAGCAACGTGGATCTGGTGTGTGTAACGTGTCTCGCTCCCTCGCTTCCCATATTCTCTGCTGAAGACATTTCTTTTCGATCACGCCTTCGGTCACCTTCCCACCCCCCCTCCCCCTGGCTCGGACCCGGGATCCGTTACTGTAAAGCGTTCTGAGACACCGTCCAGCGTGGAGGGCGCTATATAAATCCAACTTGTTGTTGTTGTCAGGCATGGTCCCGCTAGTCGCAGAGTGTTACCTGTGAAACAGCTGAGGGCACAGCAGACTGTTCCGTCACCTGGACGTGCTGGACCTGAATGGCGTGCTGTGTGAAGGTGTGAGTGTCGTGGAGCTGGCTGACGTCCACTGTGGACTGGGGAGTCTGTTGCGGGGAGGAGGCCTGCGAACAGAGACATACAGGAGCAGCGGGTCAGTCTCCCACAACCAGTGCCACATCCCGTTCAGCTTCACCAACACATCGTTACAGAAATCATTTCTTTTCCACCAAAATCATCTGAACCCAATACAGTGTTAACTTAAAGGAAATATCCTAAGAGCAGGTTTCTCTGGACTGCGGTAACAATAAAAAGCAGTTAGAAAACACTTGAAACTTTTAAGAGTAAAACAGGTCAATGTTGTGTAATCCAAGTGCAGTTCATCTCTTTCTTGGCAGTCTTTCAACACCCTGACAAACAGAGTGCCAACAATGATCAGGTTCCTCGCATACAGTCAGCACTAGATTTGTTGTATGTTTAAGGCATCTTCCCCTGGAGTTTTCCCATTGATTTTCTACAATTTCAGACTTAACGTTAACAATAATGAGAAACAACGAATGACATTTGCACAGTGCCTTTCGCATCGGGAGGACGTCCCAAGGCGCTGGACAGTCTGAACGTCAGTTGAAGTAAATTGTGAAAGATTCTTTCTTCTGGCTTCCATCAGATTCTGACACAGGACGAAAAGGGGGCGATACCCACCTGAGCCACTTGTACGACCTGCAGCTGGATGTGCTGGGGTTGCTGGCCCTGAACCTGCTGAATGTGCTGGGAAACAGGAATGTACTGGACGCGCTGATAATCTCCCTGTGAGGTGCGATAGTCAGTAGTCAGTGTCTGGGATAGCTCGCTCATGGCCTGGGTCAGTAGATCGGTTGTCTGCGTGAGAAAGAGCAGAGAAGATTGGCCTCGATACAAAACTCCCTTCAACAGTTTTATAATAATAATCCTTGCAATTAATACAGCGCCTTATCACATCGCTGAGACGTCTCAAAGCGCTTCACAGAATATACTGTGCACTTTGTACAAATAAGCAGCAAAGAGGCCCAAAGAGATGGAATGAAATAGATCGAGCGTGAACCTCACCACCACAGTGTCTCCTGTTGAACCGTCTGCATTGATGAGCGTGGGCGCCGTGCTGATGACTGTGGCTGCGATGGGGGTCTGTGCGGGCAGCGCCGACAGGGAGTTTGGATTCGCCCGCAGGATGTCCGTGTGTTTTTTGCGGATGTGTTGCACCATTTTGGCCTGGTCACAGAATAAACAGAACAAATCAGACAGGGCCAAAGGTACAGGTCTGTTGTGATGGATAGGCTGATAGCCACACACAACAACCCCCCCCACCACGACCAAAAAGTCCCAGACCCAGAGGATAATTATAGCATCAGAACTGCTCCCCAGCTGAGAACAGCGAGCTTGGCACAGTTGGGAAAAGGAAACTTGCATCCACCGCGCCCGGTTCTCTCTGGACACTCACCTTGCTGCTGTACTGTTTACAGCAGTGTGGGCAGCAGACGGGCAGTGTGGCAATGGTGCCCTTTAGCTGGGTGTGAGTGCTCAGCATGGGGTCGGGCTCGCCAGGCCCCGCAGGACGTAGCTTGCGGATACTGGGAGGGAGCTCAGAACCCGGGTGGTTCTTCAGGATGTGGGCTTTACGTTTGCTCGCACTCTTGTAAACCTTAATTGGGGCAAATTCACAGTTAATGCACGAATACCTGATAGCAACAATTTGTATGTACACAGTATCCCTCATGCAAGGTAGCGTCCCAGTGCTTACTTACCTTGTCACAGTACTGGCAGTAGTAATCACGATTGGGTTTGATGATTGGCAGCGTTAGTTCTGGCACATCATCTATTCTGATATCTGGGTGTCGTTTTGCCAAGTGATTGACCTGAAATTGGAACAAGTCTCATCAGCACAGTGTAGCAAAGTTTTACATGTCTTATTAAAAATAATAATAATTCTTGCATTCAAGAGAGCTCCTTATCACGTCTTCGAAATGTCTCAAAGCGCTTCACAGAATATACTGTAAAGTGAATTGATCGTATATTTTTGAGAGAAATGCTACAGCCAATTGCGCACAACAGCATCCCACAAACGGTCATGAATTGAGTGACCAATTAATATTATTATTATGTTTTTTGAAGGGATTATTACCCCTTGGAAAAGTGATCTGCCAATCGACTGACAACCGTGTTCGAACCCAGGTCCTCTCGCTTGCAAGGCGAGCGTGTTAACCACTACGCTATGGGACTCGACACAGATATATGTATGTGTCACACACCAATGAAGCTCAGTCTGGTTTTCGATACTCTTTAAGATGGTGCTGGGTACTTGGGTGTCAGACGCCTAGGCTGAACAAAACAGAGAGCATCGGTACTGACCAACATCCCACGGCGCCGGAACCCCATCATACAGGCGCGGCACTTGAACATAAAGCTCTCGTAGTCTGTGGAGGGGATCTTGGGTTTGAAGGGCTTGGATTTGTGGATGCGTCCAGCATTCTTGGCTTCCCGCTCGGGGTTGTGCATCCGCTGCATGTGCTCTTTCAGCTTGTCCTTCCTCTGTCAGTAAAAGATCAGGGATCAATACCTTGGATCAATGCGCCGCACAAAAATGTGGGTATAAATCACAATCCTCGCATGTGATAAGTCTCCTTCACATCAGGAGGGAGCTGAGGAAGTGGGGTGGGTAGCATCTCAAATCGCTTCGCAGTAGTTACTGTGAAGTGAAGCGACTGCAGATTTTGTGGAGAACATCTATAAAATCTATAACTTTATTCAGGATAATGTCCCACCATAGATAGTCAACAATAACAGGACAAACAACAAGGACAGGAGCATTTCACAGAAAAATAACCATGGTTTCATATAATTATTCAAGACTGAGGTGCAGATTTTTGTATCAAAGGTGTCAAGGGATATAACAATAATAATCGTTGCATTTGATATAGCACCTTATCAAGTCTTCGAGATGTCTCAAAGCGCTTCACAGAATACACTGTAAAGCGAATTGACTGTATATTCGGGGGTGAAACAGAGCAGCCAATTGCACACAGATATGGAGCAAAGGCAGGAAATGGAATTGAGCCTTACTTTGAACTGCTTGCCACAAGTGGAGCAAAGGAAATCTTTCCGATCCGAGTGCCTGAGCATGTGTAGCCGTAGCTTGTCTGGCCGACAGAAAGCCTTGTCACATTCCATGCACTGGTAGATCTTTTCAGAATGAAAGCTGCGGACATGTTTCTTGATCTGACAATCGCAAGGTTACAAAAAAAACACACACATCGCTGTGAGACAGTGATCTCTCATCTTATACATATTCTTTCACTCATCTAATGAATACAGAACTGTCCAAAGATGCCTCAGCCCTTCAATGGATTTAGCCGTTAAGTTATTGTTGTCATATTGACACAGACACTCGCTCACCTGGATAAAGTCTGAGAACTGTTTTTTACAGGAGGGGCAGGTGAAACAGCCGTTAGTCACGTGTATTGCAACGTGTTCTTTCAGCAGGTCCAGGCGATCGAAGGATTCTGTGCAGAAAATACAGGAGTAGGTTTTCTGATCAGAGTGGAATTTCATGTGTGATTTGAGGGCCTGGCTGTTAATGAAGCCTTTGTCACAGATGTCACAGGCCATGGGGTAGTTGCCCTCCCGACCGTGGAAATGCAGGTGCTGATCCAGCTTCTCCTGCTCCCGGAACGCTTTCCCGCAATGGAGGCATTTGAACGGCCGAAAGGATTTGCGGATGAAGAGGTGGTGAAGTGCGGCGTTCTGAAGAGGAACACAAGGAAAGGCCAAGTAAAAAAACACTGTACACCTTTCAAATCGACTTCCATTTGCCCTGGTTTCCGACCCTCTTAGTTATTACACTCGCCCGCCATCATTTTGTTTAGGATCCAGTAGTAATTTTATTATAGGATCTTACAGCACTTCACAGAATTTACTGGAAGGTGTAGAGACTGTATTTTGTGCACAGACATGAAGTGAATGGTCAATTTTATTTGGGGGGGGGGGGTTGTTGGTCAGGACACCAGGAGAGAGAAACTCCCTTCTCTTTTTGAATAGTGCAACGGGATCTTTAACATCCACTTGAACAGGCAGAGATGGGCCCTCAGTTTAACATCTCATTCGAAGGACAGCATCTCTGACACTGCAGCACAAACCCATCACTGCACTGGCAGTGTCGGCCTCGACCGCCAGCTCAAAATACCAACACGGGGTTTGAACCCACGAAATTCTGATTCAAGAGGAAAGTGCTAGCAACTGAGCCAGGCTGACACAACTGCTTAATAGATCAATTGTCAAGTATCTCTCTCTCTTCTCAGGAGGACAAGGGATCTCCAAGACCTTAGAGATAAGGTGGGGGACAGCATTAAGGCTGATTCCCTGAGCAACATGCTATAGTAAAGCGTACATTAGTGAAGCTTCTTCTGGCTTGAAGAGACATGTCTGAGGCAAGCACAACACTGCGTATCCACACACCAATTACAGCATCACATTTCAGCTTCTCCACATTGCGAACCGAAGGTGGCAATAAAATAATTCCCAATTGCGTGCACGTATAAGTTTCCAGGGGCCGGTGTATTTAAGCATTTTTTTTTTTTACAGGTACAATGTAGGGCAGAATGTATAGACAGAAAGTGAACAACTCAAGAGAGAAAGAAATGGAAAAAACTCTGAAAGGGAGAAATTTAGAAAGTCAGAGGGAGAGAGAGAGAGAAAGAAAAAAAAAAGGGCTGTCACAGTGTGATAATGTAGTAACAGTAAATTACTAATGGAAGAAGTTTTGGGTTCGTAATGAAATCAATCTGTATTTTACACAATGTCCCATTACCCATATTGTTTCCATATCATCAGTGGTTCCATTTAGTGCAGATAATGTATTGTTTGTGTAGCGAGGAAGGAGAACGGTCAAAATTAAAGCCTCTTGCTCACAATATTTTACTTCAAAATGAAAAAACGGCATTAGCAGAATTCAAATCCATGATTTTCAGTGAATTACAAGTGTTATTCATGCAATTCAATAAAATGCCAAATTATCAGAATTTGCACCATTCGTTTGAAATCCTCTACCCTGTATGTCAACTTCAGAAATATGATCAGTGTCACACTCTCTAAATGTATCTGGATAGTTATAATGCAATCTCTCATTACACTACTTTGATTGGCACCGACTTACAAACAACAGTGACCTCTCAATGGCAGAACAAATGGATCAGCAACAATATCATCACAGTTACACGTCAACAACTTTCCTGCTGCCTGCCTGACAATCAGAAGTCACACACGGGACACTTCCAGCTGATTACTACATCCTACATACAGAGTGAACTTCAGGAGAGATCTGTGGTTCACCTATAATCGACCATGTCAATGTTGTTACAACATCTAGTAAAATGAGTAAACGGTTTCTATCGAGCTCCCTTTTGTTTGATGCGCGTGTATGTGTGTGTGCCCTCCAAATTCTGGTTTTGTTGTTTTCCCACATGCTCGCTCGCCTTATTCCCATTCCGTGCCCAGAGTAAGTAAGAAACCCACCTGGAAATCCAACTGTGAAGCATATGAAAAGAGAAAATACCGCAATCAATTAAGCTCCATAACCAACCCTGCCATCCATTGACAGCAATCTGTTCAACCACATCTCACGTCACCTCCTGGCAACTTGAGCCAAACAGTACAGGAGCCAAATGTTCAGAAAGTAGAGACAGTTTCTGCTGAACTCAGTGGATGAGTGAATGTTTTCAATGTATTTTAGCTTCAAAATAAATATTTATTATTGATTTTGTTATTATCAAATAATATGGATATTATTAAATGATAATAAATAAAATAAAAATCCTTGACTGTCGTGAAAGGCACTGTGTAAATATTAATTTGTTGTTGTTATTGTTCAAGAGGTTTATCTTTTGATTAATGTGTCCCGTGGTTATAATGATTAAAATGCTTTGGAAACACAAACTTTGGGGGGGGAGGTGGGGAGTGGAGGGAAGCATATGAAAAGAGAAAATACCGCAGTGGGTGCTTCCCTTGTTAGTAGATCATCCAGAGTAAATAATCAAAAGCATTCCATCTCGAATTCGGTAAAATTTCTTGCGATCCAAGAACTAACGCCACGCTCTTTGACAGTGACCGGCTGAAATGTGACTGATTTTCACAACATGTTGCCCATTGCAGAGCAAAATTATGAAAATTAACCATCACTCTGAATGGCGTTCTGAGTTGACCCATCGAGCCCGCAATTACCCTGATCCGTTTGTTGCGCCTCAAATCGTCGGTCGGGTCGCCTGCGGCCATGTTGTTGGCGAGGTTCGAGTCGTTCTCCGGCTGCTCGGCTGTGCCCACGGAGTTCTGCTGGTTCATTCCATTGGCCATCGGCTCAGCCACGTCCTCAAAATGGTGCTTCAGAGGGAACTGCAGGATCTGTGGCCCAAGACAGAGGGGAGTCAGCACTTGCGATGCACCCACCGTGGCAGTCGATGGAATAAACCGATCAAGTGTGAAGACTTGGTGAACTCATCACCAGTGCTTGAGAGTCTCCCGAAATCAACTCCCACAATATTGCCTGAGCCATTTGCTTTGATATCTCAGGAAGGAACGTGTCAGGTTTAATGACGTTGGCACATGACTAGCCACGGCCTTACCTCACTGTGATCAGCGGCCGATTCCTGTTGAATGAACTTCGGTGGCCGACCCGGTCGTCTGCCAGCCCCGAATCGTCTCCGGCCCCGGCCTCGCCCCCTGCTCCTCGCCCTGTAAGACACGAGCAATTATTACATTCAATAAATATCTGAGCAAACTCAGATGCCTGGCATGCTGCTTGCTCCACTACCTTCTCCAGGTGATGTTACACTGTCCTCGAGGGGCAGAGAGGCTGCAAATCCACAAAACACAACCAACTTGGCATCAAAGCCAACATTCAATTGTTTACGAGGATTTTTTTGCCCTCAGCAGAATAACTGCAAACACAGGGTCCAGCCCCAGTGTGGAGCATCCAGCTGCCAGGATAGCAAAAGGGCGTTAATAATAATAATCCTGGCATTTGATACAGCACCTCATCACGTCTTCGAGACGTCTCAAAGCGCTTCACAGAATATACTGTAAAGTAAATTGACTGTAAATTTTGTGTGCAAAACGTGGCAGCCCACAAAACATACAGTCAATTTACTTTATTACGTAGTCAATTTAGTTAATTGAGCACAGCGATGTCCCACAAACAGTTGTGGATTGAGTGACCAATTTTTTTTGAAGGGATTGATTATTATTCCCGGAAAAGCGATTCACGAATCGACTACCAATTAAAGCCAAGGATTTAAATTTATTTAAGCAAAATCTATTATCTCCTCCCCAGAAAAGTAGGGCCCAAATCACGGGAAATTCCTGTCCTGATCAAGGGGGCAGGTACAGTTTGAGAGATGATACCTGCTGAAGAAGTCTATCTTTTCGTCGTGCATGTTCAGGTGTTGCTGCAGTTGCTCGGAGCTGGTGAACCGCCGATTACATTCGAAGCAGGGCCAGTTCCTCTCCTGGTCCCTCAGTACTGGGGTAGAAACAGGAAGGTTACAAGTTAGTGATCGCTTACTGGCAGAAAATAATTACCACAAAACCTCCTAACCTATAAGAATATTTCTTGCAATTTGATACCTCACCTTTCACACGGGGGGGGAAAACATCCCAAAGCACTTCCCAAGATTTACCTTAAAGTAGTGTAGGGATTACTGTGGATATTGTAGGCCAATATTCAAAAGACACAAGTCTTACCTATTTTCCTGCATTTCTTATTTACGCACAATTAAACATCCGCTCACGGCCAATTTCATCAAATAATCATCGCTTCAACATTATGACAGCGAAAGAAGTGCAGGAGAAATGCCAAAACATTGCAGTGGGTACAAAGCAGAGACAATCAACCTCCACAATAAAGGCTCTGACAGGAGCAGCTAAGGTTAGGATCAATAATTCTTCCAATGCTCCGCCAACATCAAAATTTGTTTAAGTTGGGTCAAGAGACCAGTGTGGAATGTTCAATTCAACAGTGAGGCAATTCCTAACACGCACACAACTGAACGTAGGGCCAAGATCCAGTCCGGTTGTTACTCGGAAACCAGGGCAAATGGAAGTCGAGGCTGTTACTGTGGACAAATCCATACACATATCTCAGCACTGAGATACTCGCTCACCTCTCCGTTCCTCCTCTGAGATATCGTGGATCTTCTGCTCCACAAAGTCTGCGTACGACGCTGCGTACCACACCTGTCAGCAACCACAGACGCAAAGCCTCAGACAAACTGTTCCTTCTTTACACCAACCGTACATCCTACACTTCACGCCAACGTCAATAAAACACAGTGGAGGCTTTTTTGTGCCATGTGTAAACAATTTTTAAAAACCGTGAACGCTTGTCCTTTGTGTTTCCACCTTGATATCAGAGACAATATGCAAGTACGGTTCGTAGATTCACAAACCACTGTGACCTCAGATACCCAGAACTGCTTCCTCCTATAATCTGTAGGTTTTTAAAACACTAAGCTTCGCTGCATTCAAGGCTTGTACAGCATGCAGTGCCAACACCCATCTGTCTGTCTCACACTCTACCAGTGACTGACCTTCACACACTGTACCCTCCCTTTTACCTCCTTTACCTTGAGCTCTTGTTTGGGTTCGATGTGTTTGATGGTGGTGAAGTACAGCTCCTTGCCATACTGGTATGCTACCAGGTTCTGTTCCAGGTGATTTTGTGCTCTTCGTACGAACATCAGCCAGTTGCACAAATTCTCATCGGAGAGATCAAACCACAGATCAGCTTTTTCTCCCTCTTTAAACTCATCCCATCCTATCGTCATAGCAACCTGTTAACCAAATGAGACAAGCAAATTACTATCATCTTTGGCTTAATCTTCCAGGTACCATTTTCCAGCATAGCACTCGCAACTCATTTTGTGAAGTGCTTATATTTACATGATAAACTGGAATATTAAGATACAAATTTATTATTCAAATCCTTTTGGGACTGACTCATTAACAAGCTCTGTCTGTCTTACAATTCAGGCGGATGTTAAAGGATTCCCCGGTCGAGGCTGAGGGTCTTTAGGCGCGACCTGAAGATGGGAGAGTGTTCTGCACTTAGAAATAAGAGACGTACCTTGAGATGAAAGTGCCCCTCTTTGAGGTCAGACTGTTTAACTAGTGGACCCTCCACGGGGCCAAACTGTGTTCGTTTTGGAATGCGCCTCTTGGAGAAGACCCCTCCTGTAAAGCGGTCGATGTACAGGATCAGGGGAAGGCTGGCTCTGGCCCTGCTCAGAACTTGCCGGTTTGGGATGGAATGTAAAGTGCCGTGTTTGGGACAGGTCGTTGGGTGAGCATTATTGCAGTCCTCGCACCCTGCACAGGAAACAGCAGCAAAGTTCACAGAGTCACCTCTCAGAAATCAAAACAGATCTACAACACACCCACCCCACCAGGGCGCAACAAAGACCTTCATTCCAACCTCAGCCTTTTCTCTCCCTTCCTCTGCTTCTGAAAACACCTGACTGACTCCTTTTCTTCCTCCTCCCCTCTAATGGGTTTGGCACATTATCCAAGAGGTCATTATTGCTGTGTCAGTCTTACTAGTTGGTTAATACCATTCTCAGGTTATTCCGACTACAAGGACATCAACGCCAAGGCTGATCCTCTCCTCACCCATAACACCTTCCAGCAGAGCTTCTGGAAAGAAAGCAGGAGCAGGTAGCCTGACTAATTTTCCTTGACTAAGTAAGAGGTATTAGTCCAATTATAGCTCCAACTATTGCATTGGTCGTCGGTGTTTGAACCTGAAACCTACAACCATTAGAGTAGCTCAGTATTTATTTTGTAGTGAAAGTGGAAACAATTTTCTCAGCAACAGATTTTGCCCTCTCCCTGCTGCTGACATAAACACGCCTCACTTACACAAGTCACAGGGATTGAAAGGCCTGGGAGGTCCTGGCTCCCAGTCTTCCAGATCAGACGAATCTCCATCATCATCTTCCTCATCTTCATCATCATCCTCTTCAGACTCCAAGTCGCGCTCGGTTACCTCCAGGGATTCTGGCAATGGCTGGACGGAGCTGATCACGCCGGATATCCGAGGCAATCCGTGATTCCGCATGGGAAGTTGAGACTAGAAGTAGAAACAACAGGTCACTGGAATCAGAGGAGGCAGAGAGCTCAACATGGGGAATACACTGATGGCTAGCAAATGAAGTTCCAATACAGTTAAACAGTAAGGTAATAATAATAAGGTACTTCAAATACCAAGTACAAATAGGAGGCATGCAGCCGAAGTGGGTGGAAGAGCCAGGACTTGCAAAGGGGAAGTTAAAGGCACCCAAGAGATGTTAACTTGATTTGTTGCTCATTGTGTTCAAACAGTGTGAGGCAGCAATGATCAAAGTGAACAAGATGCCTGGGTTAATCACTAGAGTTCCTTTTCTCAGATGTCACGGTGAGGTTCCATACTCTTAGAATGATACCGTATTTACAACCCAACTGCAGTCTGAAGTACTCAGAGGAACGTATTCTCCAATACACGCGCTGGCCACAGATATGGAAACCATGGACTGTCACCTAACTGACTGACTATCGTGAATGCTGGTCAATTAGCAACAAAACTGATAACTGATCAACTTCTGCTGAGCTCTTTGCAGATTTACCAGAGAATTGCTCTCCACTGTCAGCTGCTGCTGAGCCTCTGTCACACTGCCAAGGACTGCAAGGTTGGCAGTGGTCACGTTCTGGTTGGCAGGCAGGAGAACGGTTACCTAGTGAGCAAACAAACCAATCTGTTTGAGCAAGAAAGCAGCCACACACACAGAAACTCAATCCATCACATAGCAGGTTTCATGTAGCAGTTTATTCCTTTGTATGAAAAACTTTCTTCCACCTGCAGATTGTAATCGACAGTGGCAACCACCCCGACAGATTGTACTTTGGACAGAAAACTTTATTAAACAATACATTAAAGAAAGTCAAGCATTTGACGAAATCTATCCTCAACTGCAATTAATCAGCATTTAAGTTATTTGGGGTTTAGATTTGAGCCATGTATAAAGGGAAGATTTACACCTATTCAGTCCAAAAACACAATACCAATCACAACTCTTCCACAGGAGTACGCTTCACAAGTGACAACGGTAATTACGGTTGACTCACTTCTTACCTGCTGAGTGGTTGCATCCTGCTGGATGTAAGCTACCTGGGATTGATCTGTGAAAACAGCCTTTAAAAACACAGAGAAAGGGAATATTAACCAGGGACAAATCTTCTCCATTATTTATCCTAAACATAAATCAGAATTTTTTTTCATTTACATCTTTCAATTCTTTTCACCTCCTTCAGAAAACCATGTTAAATCACACCCCGCGCACCCCCCACCCCATCCCATCCCAAATCCCTGTTGTTTCTTCCCTCCTCCTTAAAATTGTTCCAACTCCTTTACCTTCCTACACTTCACAGGTGTTAGCCGATCTCCAGCGCTGCATTTAATTGCATTGTTCTTGTGTGAGCCTCGACATTGAGAGCTGGCAGTTCATTCAACCAGAGGACGAGATTGAAACTCAGCATCCGCACAACACGTACCCCTGCAGCATGGAGCAATGGACAGCAACCAGGAGCAGGAAACGTGCTTGCTTTTCTCCTCCCTAACCCGGTGGTTGTTGAGGCTAGTATATAAGATGGGTACCCACCTCCCCAGAGTATACAAACCTGGGTGCCATCAGCTTGATGAATGTAAACCAGTGTGTGTTCTGACCCGTCTACGGACGTGTAGGATGTCCCGTCCGCTGTATAAACTACTTGCTGTGATGGCCGGTCCTGTTCGTCAGCATAAACAATCTGAGCAACGGCACTGTTCTCAGGAACATAGTGTACCTGGGGGAGGAATACAACTGGGCTGAATTCAAGGGACAGCAACCTCTGACACTCACTATCATAACAGCTAGCTTCTCAAACCATTCCCCCAATCACCTGGTAATCAGTTTCAAGTCATTTTATTTTGAACTGAATTAAAAAATTCATTAACTCGTAGAACATGCTGAAGCTACACCATGCAACTGACTGAATGGAGTGAAGGTGAATGCAGTGCTATAAGTGGGAAATATTCCCTGTTTTGGTAAAGAAACTAAAGAAAGAGTGAGATACAAAGCTGCTCACCTGGGCATTTGTCTGATCTTGTTCAGATGGCCCACCCCAAACAGCAGCAGCCTCGGTCTTGGGTTCCATAGCTGAAATACTTTGTGGAGTTTCATGCAGCAACAGTCAGACAGTCTCGGCAAGCCGATTGCTTCCTTCACATATCTGCATTAGGCAACACCCAGGTGCCTTTGATTCTGTAAAAAGCTAAATAAAATACAGTAATTCGAGCAAAGTACAAAATACAACAGAACCTGCTATTTTGAGTTCAAGTCTCATGGGCGCCAATGAAGAAGAGGCACTGCAAATGGGAACAGCCCTCCCTTACCTCCTGGCCATCTCAAGACCCTCCTCTTTGATCGCACCTTCAGTCACCCTCCTACCCCTACCCTCCACGGCTCCTGATCCTAACCCCCAGCTCGGGTCCAAATCTCTGACAATCCAGCGCCTTTGGGACGTCCTCCCGACGTGAAAGGCGCTGCGTAAATGTCATTTGTTGTTGCTACAATACAAACTTGCATTTGTATGGTGCCTTTCACGTCAGGAGGACGTCCCAATGGCACTGGACAGTCAGAGGTTTGGATCCGAGCCGGTCGTTGTTGTTGAGTAGACACTGACAGCAGGTCTGGTGGGGTGAGCTGGCACCGGGGCAGACACAATGTGGTTGTCGGCTGTGCTCGCTCTATAAACATTCCAGGATTCAACAACAACTTGCGCTCATATAGCAGCCTCCATGCAGGGTAGCGTCTCAGATTCCATGAATCTCACCCTTCAAATAACTTGTGAAAGGTGAATAAGAAATTACTTTACAAAGAACAAAACTGAAACCTCTTTACACATGCAAGAGGGTCAAATTTTTATAACACGGAAATTCATTAAGGTAACGCCGCTCTGCCAGTAAGTTAAGGAAGTCAACAGATGCATCACATTGCCTGTTCCCTCCGAGTACTGACCGACTGTCTTGCCACAGCCTGTAAAATGTGAGGATCTTCGATCATCATCAACGGTGCAATCTGCCACACACTGAAACAAAAAGAAAAGTCATGAAAACACGATATAAGTATAATGAAGTTAGTATATAATAATTCTTGCATTTGATACAGCGCCTTATCACGTCTTCAAGGCATCTCAAAGCGCTTCACAGAATATACTGTAAAGTGAATTGACTGCTATCTTGTGGGCGAAACACAGCAGTCAATTGCACACAGCAGTGTCCCACAAACAATCGTGGATTTAAGTGACCAATTTATTATCTCTATTTGTTTTTGAAGGAATTATTACCCCTAGAAAAGCGATCCGCCAATTGACTAACAACCAGGTTCCTTCTTACCGCTAGGTAAACTGAGGCATGTGGAGTAAGGAAACTTCCCCAACATTTCGCCCTGCCGGGAACCCGAGGCGAGTGCTCTATCCACTGAGCTAAATACATAGCGATTAGACTTTACGGAAAACTTTGAGAAACATTCCAATGGTATCGGCACTATCTCATAGTCATGGATTATTATCAGTGAATTTACCTTTTTGATCTTCACCCCAAGGTATTGTGGCCTTTGAGTAAGAAGGACAATGCAGTTTATATTGTAAAATTAAGCTAATGCTGTGGAAAGAAGATCTATTACATGGCGGTGAATAGAAATTGGTTTTAAAAACAGGGAAAGGCTATCAATGGGAAACTATCAGAATAGAAGATTACGAACTGAGTACTTCTGGGGTCAATCTCTGGGCCTTGCCATTTTCAGAATGGATAAACCACTTCCCTTGAGCAATTGTCATAAAACAATATCACTGTTCTATTGAAGGGTGTGAAGAAGATTGAAAAGATCAAGCATTGTATTGAAGACAGTGTGCACTGAGGAGCAATCGATCTGAAGGAAAAGGTGATTCATGGATTCAGGAGACAGAATTGGATGATGAGAGGATACAATTAGTGACGTAGAGAGAAATAAAGTGTCAGGAATAACAAAGCTCTGAGCAAATCCGAGGCTCAGGAGAGAAGAAAAACCACGAGGATAAGCCATCAATGATAGAATGAACAGAGCAACACAAGAGGAGAAAGCCATAGCCTTCACGGAAAATGGTAACTTGTTGACCTTTAATGCCAGATCCTATCAGAGGCTTTTCAGATGTTCAAGGCAATAATAAATGAAGGTGATCCAAGTAAAGAATTCAAGCGATATGTAAGCTAATAAATTACCATACAAATGGGTGGGCTTTACTCAATTGGGAGAAACAGAGGACGCACAGGCAGTCTTAAAAGCAGTCCACACTTTAATTGTACATTAACTGAACAAACCAGCTTTTCAAGACAACCTAACAAACTTCTCTTGTCCTGTCTGGTCCACAACGCTGACTGCTCAGTTTCCCCCTCCCCTTTATGTTCTCCTGCGGTTGGTTACCGAGCGGCCTCAATTGGTCCCCGAAATCTACATGTTGCATTCCCACACCCTCCCTGGAACCTATTGCCTTCTTAACGGGCCTTGCATCCTTCGATAGGTATCCAATTACTTCGGATTCCAATTCAATTGGTGTCTACTACCCCTTCTGTCCTGGCCAACAGTTCCCCCAGACGAAATTGGTCATTTACATCAATAGCTGTTTTTGTACATGACTATGCGCACATCAGCCGTCTCATTTGGCTGCAAAATACAGTCACCGCACATTATAGTAAAATCCCGCGAAGCGCTTTGGTGAGACGTCTTGACAACGTGATAAGGCGCTGCATCAAATGCAAGAATTATTATACTAACGTGATCAATTTCTACAACAGTGAGAATCAGACCTATTCCGACTTATCAGGAGCAGGAATGCATTTTTCACATACGCTGAAACGAGAGGGGTTCAATCTCTTCAACGCCGTCAGAATTGCAGTCAATCAGAATATAACGGGAGAATTTTATTCTGCAATCTGTGGAAAAAACAAACTTCGCAGTTTGTTTCTAAATCCACGGCGTGGGGCAGGACTCGAACCTTTCACCTGCAGGTTGCCCAAGACAGAAAATAAACTCAATGACTTTCCCAATGTACATTGCTCCACGTGTGACGCGTTCTCAGGCTCCGCTCTTGCACGCTTCAGTGCGGAACCAACGTGTTGCTGTTAAATGTTCCTCACAAGACCCCCACCCTCATTCAACAGCCTCTCACAGTCGCCCTCCTCTCAGCCCCCGAACAACAGCCCCTCACCTCGAACCCTGGGCAACAGCCTTACCGTAGCCCCCCCACCCCGAGCAATAGACTCCCACACTATAGCTGTGAGCCTGGAGGGCATTGCCGGAGGCACCATTGTTCCTTCGGATGAGACGCTGATTAAACCGAGGTCCCCTCGGTGCCCGTTCAGGCAGGCGTTAAAGATCCTGCAGCGCTATCGGCCAACGGATTAAAAAATAAAAACGCTCCTTCGCTTCGCGGCCGTCCAGCGCGCAGAAATCAGCCGCGGCAGCGGCGGCCACAGAACACACGGTCACTACAGTTTGGAGGGAGTCCTGCGAAGCTTTGAGACATTGTGGGTTTCCGGGTCTGGATGATACGAGATTATATTCCTGCGTCTCACCCCCCAAACCCCTCAAAATCACACACGTACACTCTCTCTCTCTCTGTTTGTGCGTATCGCTGGGGTGCGGACGGATTCACCAGCCTTTCCCAGTGGTGGTGGGGGGGTGAGAGGGGAGGGGGGGGGGGGTCCCACGCTAGAGCCGAGACCACCCTCACCCCACAGCCCAGCCCAGCGCCCGGGGTTGGACCGGACCCTGCACGTCGGCCCGCACAATAATAACCGGACCGCGGTCGCGACGCGGTCACTCACTCCACGACCATCTGTGTGAGCGTTGGTCGGGGGGGGGGGGGGGGGAGAGGGTGTGGGTGTGGGGAGAGAGAGAGGGAGGGATGGTCACCGGGCGCCATTGGCCGCCCGCAAAGTGCGCAGTCACTACGCTTGACCGTCTAATCCCGCGGAGCGCCTGCGAGACGTCTGGAGGACGCCATAAGGCGCCGCCGGTGTCAAATGCAAAGATTGTTATTATAATTATTACTATATACCTCGTCATCTGCCCTCCTCCTCATAATAATAATAACAATAATAATAATCCTTGCATTGATGTTGCCCCCCCACCCCACCCTCTCTCTCTCTCTCCCCCCGAACCCCACACCCCAGTGGACCGCACCACCACCACCACCGCCGGACAAAGAGAGAGAGACAGAGACACAGAGAGAGGAGGGAGAGAGAGAGTGAGGGGCTGGTGGGGGGCTTTGCGTCCCGCCATCGCCACGAGAGCCCTCTCCCCGCAACGAGGAGGGCCCTGAGCCCGAGCCGGAGCCGCGGGTCGGGTGAGGAGTCGGCGGGAGAGAGAGAGGGTCCGCCCGCCCACCCGCCCCGGGGCTCCGGTCAGCTCGGGTAGGGCCGCCCTCCCCCCCCCGCACTCCGCTCGGCGGCGGCGGCGTCGGTAAGTGAGTGAGAGTGAGTGAGTGTGTGAGAGGGAGAGGGGGAGAGCTGCCGCCCGCCATTTTGGGTGGGACTAAAACAACAACAAGCCCCGAAAGCGGGGAGAAGCGGGAACGGGCGCCGCGCCCCCCCAGCCCGAGCCCAGCCCCCCGGCCGCTCACCTGGGCTTCGGCGGCGGCCCCCGCGCGCCCCGGGCCCGCCGTCTGCCCGCCCCGGCGGCTGGAAAGCGGCGAAATTGGAGCCGGTGCTCACCTCACAAATGGCAGCGCCGCCGCTCGGCATCGGCGCAACGCGGCCCAACGCGCGCTGCCATTGGCTGCTCCTCCCCCCCCCCCTCCCCGGGCCCCCCCGCCCGCCCCCGCGCCCCGCCTGGGGGGGGGGGAGATAGGGAGTGATGGTGAGGGTATGGGGGGGGAGAGAGAGAGGGATAGGGAGTGATGGTGAGGGTATGGGGGGAGAGAGGGACAGGGAGAGGGTGGTGGGGGGGGTTATGAGATGGTGTATGAGATGGGGGAGGGGGGTGGCGATGAGGGTTGGGATGAGATTGGGGGGTGAGATGGGGGGCATGAGAGGACGAGGGGGCAGGAAAGGGGGGGGGGACAGGAAGTGGGGGGATGAGAGGAGGGGGACAGGAAGGGGGGAATGAGAGGAGGGGGGCATGAGGAGGAGGGGGGCATGAGAGGAGGGAGGCATGAGAGGAGGAGGGGGCATGAGGAGGAGGGAGGTATGAGAGGAGGAGGGGGCATGAGAGGAGGGAGGGGGCATGAGGAGGAGGGAGGTATGAGAGGAGGGAGGGGGCATGAGGAGGAGGGAGGTATGAGAGGAGGAGGGGGCATGAGAGGAGGAGGGGGCATGAGAGGAAGGAGGGCATGAGAGGAGGGGGTTAGGGGGAGGGGGGGGGTTGCACAGGTATGTGAGGGTGGGGGAGTGCATGTGTGAGAGAGTGTGTGAGGGGAGTGGGGTGGGGGGGGAGTGTATGAGGGTGGGGGGATACTGCGTGAGGGCCAGCGAGTAGAAAATGTGTCAGGTGGGAGCAGGTACAGGAGCTCCACCGGTCCCTGAAGACCCCGATTGTCCCCTCGGTGGGTGTTTTTTTTGTGTGTGTGTGAGTGAGAACAATGTTGTACGAGAACTGAGGGCTGCAGTGGATCGATCACCTTTTGAGGGGAAAGGTCTCATCTTTGAAAAGGCATCCATTTACCTTGCGCGCCGTCTGGTCGCAGTGCCTTGCCCGCCCGCCCGCCCGCCCACCCCAAGTCAACCGTGTGCAGTGTCGGAAGCAGCGTCTGATCCAAGAGGTGGCAGTGTTAGGCCAAGATCTACCCCGGTCGGTTCGGTGTGCATTGCCCAATGCTCCCGAGCCGAGACGTGGCCAGCATGTAGCAGTGATGGTCCGTCCAGCAGGTTGCAGTGTGGTGCAAGTATGCAAGAAGATCTTGACGGACAAGTGTGTCGGTCTTATCATAGGGATGGTGCAGTGTCGGTTCAGAAGGTTGCGGTGTTGTGCAGACCCCAGTAACAGTGCCAGAACTAACTGCAATTGTGGCAACCCAGAGAATAATTGAATATTGTGGTCCTATTCCAGCAGGTAGGAGATCAGGAGAGACGGCTGACACCATAGTGCAGTACTGACATCTGAAGCCGTGGCTAATCAGTCTTCATCATT